CATTGAAGCAACTGCCATGTGATTGGTTGATTAGATAATTGCATTAATGAGAAATTGAACAGGTGTTCCTAATAATCCTTTAGGTGAGTGTATGTGCCCTGTAATGGACTGTTATTCTACCCAACCTTGTGCCCTATTTTGCTTGGAATAGGATCTGGTGACCTTGTCGAGGAAGTTGGATTGGTTGATATTTAAATTTCTGAAACTTGTACATACTTTGGACTTGTGTTTTAGGTGTATAATAATTTGGTTGATTATAGTTGTGTATACCCAGATTGTTGGTCTGGGTGTGCACAGTTAATGGTTTGTGTTGGCTCTTCTTTGTGTTTTCGTGTGTGTGTGTGTGTGTGTGTGCGTGTGTATGCACATGGTTCCCCAGTGGGTTCCGTGTGCTGCAGCTACGCAGGAAGACACACCAATTGCCGGGAGTTTTGCCAGGCCATCTTCCGCACTGACTCCTCCCCCAGCGTCTCCCAGATCAAGACCGTCAAGGAGTATTGCCAGGACGTCAGCCCCCAGCTGATTGGCTGTGTGGGAAACTACACCAAGTCCTACCCAATCAGGAGCCCCGTCGACAGTGAGTACAGTCACTGGGGTGCCCTGAAGAGCTCTGGGGCTTTTCCGATCAGCCACCCACTGCTGACCATTCCGCCATGGTGGAAATCGTAGGTTCTAAGTGGATGTTTCTTTTCAGCCGTGCTCCCGATTAGCCGGGGCTCCGTGTACTTGTGGGATTCAGCCAGGGTTACTGTCGATAACTAAAAGTAAAACTAAAACTGTTAAAAAAAACTTAGCAAACTTAAATAAGATAGGAAATTTTTTTCTTAAAAAAAACTACAACTAATTGAAAACTATAAAGAGACATACCTGAAATAAAAACAAACTGGGACGGCTGAGTGGCACAGTGGGAGCAGGGTTCGAGTCTCCGCCATGGCTCCATGTGTGTGTGGAGTTTGCATGTTCTCCCCGTGTCGTTGTGGGGCAGGGGTCTCCAACTCTGGTCCTGGAGAGCTGCTATCCAGTAGGTTTTCTATCCCAGGTAAATACCAGGAATAGGTCTGGCTCATCAGAAGCCAAGTAGGATAGAAAACCTACTGGACAGTAGCTCTCCAGGACCGGAGTTGGAGACCCCTGTTGTGAGGTTTCCTCCAAATGCGCTGGTTTCTCCTCACAGTCCAAAAACATGCTAAGGTTAATTGGAGTCACCAAATGGAGTGTGAGTGAATGGAGGGTGGTGTGCCCTGCGATGGGTTGGTGCCCCATCCTGGGTTGTGCCCTGCGATGGGTTGGCGCCGCATCCTGGGTTGTGCCCTGCCTTGTACCCATAGGCTCCAGGCCCTTCTGCTACCCTGAAGAATAAGCGGTTACAGATAATGGATGGATGGATAAAAAATAAACATCAGATATTTAAACATCTGATACCCTTTTAAGCACTATTTAGCTAAGGTAATGATTTGTTAATCTTTAACTACCATTAATAAGACCTAGAACATGTTGTGCACTGTGTATTTATGTAGGATTCTCCAAAGATCAGACACATAAAATATCTCTATAACCTTGTATATCCCTAGAAATAAAATTCCTAAAACTAAAAATGAAACTAAAATATATAACAAGTAAATAATAACTAATAAAACCATACTAACTAAATGTAAACAATTTCAAATGAAAATTGAAAATGATATGAAACCAAATTAAATATCAACACTATAATAACACTGGATACAGCAGCTGTGACACTGGCCCCCTGCCCCCCCCCCTGCCCCCCAGGTCTGTTCTGCTGCGACCGAGCGGAGGACACACACTGCCAGAGCGCATGCCGGCGCATCCTGCGCACACGCACCACGGAGCAGGAGATCATCGACGAACTGATCTCCGAGTGCGACCGGCAGCCCCTGCCCCAGGACCCGCTCTGGCAGTGCTTCCTGGGAAGTGCACACTCACCGCCCATCAGCGACCCTGACCCCCCCTCCACCGGCAGAGTGGCCTGCGCTAAGCTGCACTGCTGCTCCAAAGCCAATACCTCATTGTGTAGGTCAGTGGGCGGCCTGCTCCACCTGTCACGGAAATAGGGGCTTGACTTTCTGAGCATTAGCAAAGCTGGCGCGGTTATAATGGACGGAGAGTGGTTATAATGGTGGATTTAAATGCATGTATAGGGCCAAGCTCAGCATTAGATTGTGACAGGCCCAGTTGCAGATCTAAGATCTAGGGTGGATTCTCTTGGGGGGCGGGGGGTGTTTGGTTGTAAAGTGTTCAAAAGTTCTGTCTTTGAAAATTTTGACTTCCTTTCAATTTAAATTTTTTTTTAATCTTTGATTGATTAGCATTTGCCCAGTCTAGGGATGGGCTCCGGTGGTGCCTGGGGGAGACAGCCCCCACCCATGGACCTGCCATGTGACTATTTTAATGACCTCCTACTCAGGGGCGATTCTAGGATTTGACCCTTAGCACGGCTCAGCCCCCTGAAGGAATACGTCACGTGACCCCCCATGATTAATTTTTCTGAGGAGGGGGGGGGATCCCCACAATTTGCCAAGGCCGCGGCACAACATGTAGTTTATACAAAAATATGGGACACATTACTTACTTATTTAGAAAACTATATTGGGGGGCTGAGATAAAAAAAAAGGGAGGTCCGGATTGGCCTATGCACCTCCTTGTTTCATTTGTTCTCAATATTAGTATTTACTTTGTTATTTGATAGATTTAATGCTTCTATTGTTTTATTTGTTCATACGTTACTTGTATCCGGAATATAGTTCTAATAAACAAATCCTAAAAAACAAGCAGGTTTAGTATACAGTCATGCACTGCTTAACGACGGATGCGTTCGGAGAAATGCGTTGATAGGTGAATCCGCCGCTGTGCGAACATCATGCAGTGTACTCACACTATGCATTACAAGGTATATTGTTTTACAGTAAACTTTTTTTATAAGTAGAAAGAGTACAACTAAAATAACAATAAATAGTATAGTATACTAAATAAATAAACCAGTAACACAGTTGTCATTGTGAAATTAAATGAAAATGAAATGATTATACTTTTGATCCCTGTACTGTACATAAGAACATAAGAAATTTACAAACTAGAGGATGTCATTCAGCCCATCAAGCTCGTTTGGGGGGAACCCAACTAAAGTAATAGCTGAAAGTTGTGAAAATCTTATCTAGCTCTGGTTTAAATTAACCCCAGGTTTTAGCTTGCAGTACAATAACAGGAAGACTATACCATACTCTAACTACATGCTGCATTAAGAAGAGCTTTCTCAGATCCATTTTAAAATGTTCTCCTGCTAATTTCCACCTATGGCCAGGAGGTCTAGTATTTAAACTAATATTAAAGTAGCCATTTGGCTGAACACCTTACATTTATGTATGTTAAATTTCATCTGCCAGGTTATTAGCCCAGTCACTAATCAAATCAAGATCCCGTTGTAGCCTCTGTTCCGCTAGTTCAGTATCTGCTACACCACCCACCTTGGTGTCGTCTACAAACTTAACCAATTTAACTGTACATATTGGTGTCAATATCGTTAATGTAAATTTGGAATAACAGTGGTCCTAATGGACAATAAGCCCTGGGATACCCCACTATGTAACCCCACTACATAATTGTATGTGCTACACTAGCAGTGCATTGGTTTGTTTTCACTAGCATTGCCACAAACACGTGAGTAGTGAATTAATCTACGATGTTACAACAGCTATGACGTCGCAAGGTGACAGGAATATTTCCATTAGCCCCAATATAATCTTATGGGACCACTACCGTATTCCGTATATATGTGGTCCGTTGTTGACCCAAAACGTCGTCTGTACTATGTAGAGCCAGTGGAATGGGGTTATGGATCGTGTTCCTGGTGACAAAGTGCCGTGGGACTGGGGGTCTCGCTGACACGTGCTGTGCCCGCAGGGAGATGTGCCAGGACGTCAGCACCAACTGGAGGAGCCAGACCTGGCAGGAGTTCGACCAGATGTGCGAGTACAACCCCGTGGAGGCGGAGCTGGTGACCTGCTTGGCTGACATCCGTGAGCCATGCCAGCTGGGCTGCAAGGACCTCACCTACTGCACCAATTTCAACAACAGGTAACCCAATGAGAGCATGTGCAGCAGCCACAATATGACAGACAGGAAGGTCCTACAGAAGCTGCGATGTAGCCGATCACAGCGCCACCTGCTGCACCAGTCGAGATTGCAAGAGAATATTATTGGGTGAATTCAAACTTGTTATTGTTCATTATACTTTGTCAGTCCCACATTACCATTTTGAAGTGTGCAGTTTTGTAGTGCGCTAGTCTATGGTGCAGCTTTTAAAGGAGTAGGGAGTAATGGAAATGACGATAACCAACCAAAGCATACTTGCTGGAGGGTGATGGCTGTCCAGCTGAGACAGCTTCTGCTTGACATTGGGCGATGAAGCCCGAGGGCCTCAGTTTATACTAGTGATACTAGAACAGTGTTTCCCAATCCGGTCCTCGGGGACCCACAGACAGTTCACGTTTTTGCTCCCTCTCAGGTCCCTACCGGGAGCAAATATGTAGACTCTTTGGCAAGGATCTGGATGGAATCAAAAATGTGGACCAGCTATGGTCCCCGTGGACCGGATTGGGAAACACTGCGCTAGAAATACGTAAATTGGGTAGCATGATTCTTATTTGTATGCGTCCTTGTACTTTCTATGCCAGGAGACTTTGTTTTCCCAACTTTGTCCAGTGCTTGCTTGGCACTACCAGTGTGACTGGGGGGCATCGCCTTGCTGTTATTTTGTATACTGTTGTGTATAATGGTGGATTCTTTCTATAAATTCAGCTATTCAGTAAACCTTCTACACTTTTAGGCCAGAAAGCAATGGTGGGAAGCTCTCCTTATTAATAAACCGTGGCAGTAAGTTAAATGCCTGATTATCCAGGCCTATTAATGAGTAGATGTTGGTGTACATTCTACACTCCAGATTTCCATTGGCTGATGTCTTTCTGTGAGTCTTCCAGTCACAAGGCGGAGTCTCCAGCTTTGCAGCTCAACACAGTCTGTATTCGGGATGAATAAGGAGCGGCCTTTGGGTAGCTGGAGAATGACATGTCCACTCGGTAATGGTAGCGTGTCATTGTGGAAAAAAAACATGGGCGCTCCAGAATACTTGTCATTTGCAGCATGTGACTGCAGCAAACTGGGTCGCCCTCCAGTCAAGGAGAGGGCTGGGCGAGCTGTCGGGCTTGGGGAAGACCAAGGGCAGAGCACCGCCTATTTCAGCATGCCCTCGTGTGGGAGCTGATCAAAGGGTTGAGCAAACATGACACAGTCTGTTGACGTGCACCATGAGGGTAATTTGGATAGGAGAGGGGGGTCTGAGGCAGTGATGGGAATGACCTAGGGAGGTTTAGACAAACCCACGGGGGGCACCCTTTGAAAGCTTAAGGAGGACTGTACAACAAAACAACTGTACATCACACAATGGATGCAACCTGAGACTCAACAGGGTTAAGTTGGCTTTTCGGACCATTTTCACCTCACATGGTTCTTCAGGTATCTATGGCTACCTCTTTTTTCTATGGTCACTCATGTGGTTTCCAAGCCATGCTACAAGCACAGGCTCAGGTATCAGATCATGCCTGAAGTGACCTTGCCCCGTCTTTCTCTCGTTTGGGTCTCTCGTTTACACATTGTTTCTCGCCTTCATCCGTCTGTGTTCTTCTCTCTCTTGATTTGTTTATATGGAGCTTATATGGATGCTGTTTATGCATCAGCTTAATTAACATTAAAATAAATTTCCCCCGATTTACTTTACGCAAATCGAGAGTGCGGCTTTGATCAGCGACACGTCTGGACCCTCAAAGACTGCTCGCAGAGGGCCTGGAAACAGTCCGGAGACTCGTCCTTTGTTTTCACTGGAAGATGCCTTTGAACCCCTATTTATATGACGGGATGGCTGTTTCCACTGGGAGTTCAGACAAACAAACGCTGACTCCGATTTGCCTTTGAAGAGCTCTTGGGGAAGGTCGTCCCAACTGCTGCTTCTGGAGGGTTCAAAGCCATAACTGGGGTGTCTTTACCGGCGGCTGCAGAGTGGAGCCCAAATGGGCCCAGGGTACCAATAGCTACGTTCTTCCGGAACGGGGGGATCACCTCGCCGAAGGGTGTTATGGACCTATCCTGACCCTAATAACAGCGGGGATTTACGCCACCCCTCGCCTTCCCCCTAGCTGAACAAATAAATTCCACACCCTGCTGCTTTTGTTGATGTAAAGGTGGTGCAGGGCGTTTTTCACATTCCACCCACTAGGGGGTGGCACAGTCTCAGGTCAATACTGGTCCGTCACTTTGGAGATCAGTGTCCGATTCTCAGAGAGGAAATCTCTAGCATCATGCCGAGAATTCCAGCAGATAGAATTGAGTTATGGTCCAATGATGCCCAAATTCTGGGGCAACTTGTTCCCCCCCCAATGACCCAGAATCACTGTGGTAACTTGCTCTAGGAAAACTTTTGTTACGTGGCCAAATGGCCTCACGGTTTTACCAATGTCCTCTGAATGGCCATGCCTTTGTTTTTTTTGTCAAAATCTCATTCTTTTGATAGAAAAACACTATGAAATATGATCATTTTAGCTACAATGAATAAGTTTAAGGCAATGGAAAATGTCTGGTAATCTGATTAGGACCAAAACCTATCCATCACCCTAACAATGGTGAGGAGGTTATGGCTGGGAGTGGCAGCTTTACTGAAAGGCTCTATTCTTTATGGACTGAGGAGGAACTTCCTAGTTCAACAGAGCCGGAGTTTTACATGGCACAGATGTAGCAGTTAGCCGCTAGGAAATCGGCATCTGATGATCTGACCACACCAACCTCGGACTGGAAATACCCCTCCACCCGCGAGCCGGGCCACACTGGAAGGCTATGAAAGGCCAAGACTCTCTGGAATCATTATGAAAACAGCGCCTGGCGCTCCAGGTTCCTGGAGAACCCTGCCTCCGTGCTGGGCATGCATCTGCGGCTTGGCTGCTTTCCGTGAGGGCAAATGGCCCTGGAGGAGATGCACGATTTGGGAGGATCCGCTTCTGGGCTTTTGCAAAAACAAATGGAGCGTGTTTCACAGCCTCTTTTGGAGCTGTCGCTCGTGATGCTCGATATGAACTGCTGGACCTTTGGGTGTGAGTCCTTGAGGGCCCCCTTGTGTGCCAGCTATCCTAACACCATTGCCTCCATTCTTCCCCCTCCTGGCAGGCCGACGGAACTGTTCCGCAGCTGCAACGCCCAGTCTGACCAGGGGGCAATGAACGACATCAAGCTGTGGTCCAACGGCACCATCCACATGCCCTTCATGAGCATCCCGGTGCTGGACATCAGGCGGTGCCGGCCCGAAATGTGGAAGGCGGTGGCCTGCTCGCTGCAGATCAAGCCCTGCTACAGCAAATCACGTGGAAGCATCATCTGCAGGTGAGCCATGCCCCCTCCCAGCCCTGACCAACCGTGTGGTTTGGAGGCCTCCCAATCCCCCCCCCCCCTTTTGATTGTATTTCCTTTACAGGGTTTCCTGAGAATTGCCCCCAATTGCCACGTGTTCTGATCTTTTCTCAGCTCTCATCTTTAATGCCGTCCAGATTCGTCGACTCCACGGCTGAGAGAATATCCGGTTGAGGCCCATTAAATGTTCAAATAGTTTTTCTAGCCTAATGAGGATAATTAATCGACTTAAGCGGGGTATGGAGTCTACGTTCAACCTTTAAAAAGAAAAAAAACTGAACCACAGGGTTCCTTTGTTGTGTCCTTTAAACATCATGGATGCCATTTGTAAACACAGGGAAAGAGACCGGAGGTTGGCCAAACCCAGTACGTTCTAGTCCCGCTGCCTCTGGTTTTAAGTCGTTATGCATGGATCTGTGGTTTTATCCCCCCTCCCTATAATTACAGGGCTGCAGAGGGGCTGGATGAAAATATAAAAACTACGGTAAACCACCTGTGCTGGTGCTACACACTGATAGATTCTGATTTTCATAACTCTACATTGTAGTCCACATTACCCCGATTCGGGCTGCAATTGGAAGGGAATTGATTTAGGTTAGGATTTACATTTTCCCAGTGTAGAGCACTGCACTACCAAAACAAAGATTGTGGGCTTAAATCCCAGAATCACAAGACAGGGGACGTGATGTCAAACTGTCCATTGTGCCAATGGATGGTATGAGGTTTCCCCTGATGTTGAGAGGAATGGGAACTGTATCTCAGACATGGGGAAGATGTAAATTTTGGGACACAGCATCAGTAGTGTGCCTTTGAACCACAGGGTGTTTCGGCCTTTCAACACTAGACACCCTCATCAAAGGTGGCCGGCTACAGCGTGATCAGGCCTGAGCTTGCGTCTTCTTCCCTAAGTCAAGCCTCGAGCTGACCGCCTACCTTGTTCCCCTCTTCCTGGAGGGTTCTGACCTGGGTTCTTTGAGTGGGGGGGTGAAGTGGGTGGGGATTAGTGAGTGGGTCATGTTGATGTTCTATGAGCTCAGCAAGGGTCCTTCCGCTTGAACCATATCCACTGGCTGCTACTTTTGGCCGCTTCAGAGATTGATTTAAGAGAGAATACCTTTAAAAAGTGTCATTTGTCATGATGGCCAAATGAAGCTTCACAAATCATTTGCTGTATTTTCTGACCCAAGTAGAAGTGACCCCACTTCATAAAAGGGCACAAAGCAAATGAAGAGCACCATCTGGTCGGGTCAAAAAAAAACAGCAAATGGTTCATGAAGCTTCATTTACCCATCACTAGTAATTTGGGGGGTCACTTTTGATTCAGTTCATAGTACCTGCCACTCCTTCTTTTAGCGAATAGTGCTTGCGTATTACTTGTGAGACCGAGTAAACACTATTCCAGTGATGTATGTACTGAAATTAAGTAGAGATGGGCCAATCCACATTTTTTTAGTTTCGATACAATTACGATACACAACTGCCAATACCGATACAGATTCCAATACGAGAGGTCTTTTTACTTTAATATTTTAATATAATAAATATATAATATATATATTTGTTCTTTATATATAATTAATATTTTAAACTATCAAATACAGATTCAATAAAATCTTTAACTAGGCTACTAGAAACATACATAGCATTCTGTTCCGCCTCAATTATACATCGTGTTTTAAGCGTTTTTGAGGCATTTGCAGTTCAATTTGAATGTCTTCCAATCAAGGACACGCAAGTGGCGAATGCTTAAAGTCCCCACAATGTTTCTGTCACTGGCACCAGCGTAACTTACACTTCTTAGCAGCCCCTCATGTATCACCAGCTGTGGCGAATGAGCAGATCAGCCCAAGCCAGTGACTCCCAAACCATCCGTTGCTTTTTTCATATAACTCATGTTGTCTCGCACAATTCCATGCGCTTCGTTTAGTGGGATTTTCCATTAAATGCTGCTCCCGCCTCTCAAAGCTTTGCCTTTACAACGATTGCTAATCGCTGTGCTACTAGTTGCTGTTAAAAGTGTGAAATATTCCCAGATCGTCACCTTATCTGTTGTTCTTACGCTACTTGTCCCTCAAAGATGATGCCAAAAACTAAATAAGTAAGTATCGGACAGTATCGGACAGGGATCGGTCATGTATGGCCAATACCCGATCTGTTAAATAGGCCTGGATTGGCGCTGATACCGATCTGAATATCGGATCACTGCATCTCTAAAATTAAGATAACACCTCGCCACCTGCAGTTTTGTGGATGGGAATGCTCTTCTACTTAATTACCTGGACACTAATTCGTTCTCCACCCACCTTGGAAAAGCAGCAACATTTTCTTGGCTTGCGGGTCAACCAATTTGAAATCACTCAGTTGTAGCATACATGAAACCATTCATACTTTGTTTAGCTTCTCTAAACAAAAGACGTCTAAATACTGTCAGATTTGGAGAGTGCCTGTGATTATTGTAAAACAGACGCGCTTCTCTGGATGGTATGACTCCTTTCCTAGTGTGTGTGTGTCTCTGCTCTGGCCAAATGTGCAGTTTTCCCTCCCTCTGATGTTTTTAATATGTTATAATGTTATAATTTTAACAGGATCACATTCTGATGCCATTGCTGGAATCCCAGCTGGCTTCCTTGAATAGGCTGTATCACAAAAAAAAACTAAATAAAAACACATGCTGGACAAGATGTTAAACGAAACACCGAAATGGCAAGTAAATTTAAACAGATCTCTGACAATTTCTGCTAGGAGCTGGCGACTGCTAATTACAGTGATCCTTCAGACGCAAAAGGAGGTCTTTGCTTTGACTGCATTTATAGCTGCGTGACAGTTTGATGCCACAGCCATCACATAATAAATGAGATGTTTCTTCCCCCTCATTTGAGGGGCAAATTGAGTGAAGAACAACCGTTCAGACAGAAAAGAAAAAAAAAATGTTAATCTAAATGCAGTACGTGGTTGATGTCCTGGTCGGGCCCTTATTAAAATCAGTGATGTCAATGGGTGCCTCTGACATCATACCCTCCAGGTCAGACTGTGTGGACATTCTGACCCAGTGCGGCGACCGCCGGCGGTTCCGGGAAGGACAGACTCCGGAACGCATCTGCGACATGCTGTCGCCCACCGACGACCCAGAGCGCTGCATCCCACTGGAGAGATACCTCAGTGAGTTTGTATCCAGCTACGGTCCGCAGGAAGCTGCTCAGAAAAATGCCCGCAGCATTTCAGACCCTCCTCAGATGAGATATGCAAATCGGCCCCAAGAGCTAACCAATCATTAAGCCAGAATTGCTCAGTTAGTTAGTGATCTCCAGCTCCTGTCCTGGAGAATTAAACGCCAGGAACACACAGATGTGCTGCATCAGAAGCCAGGTAGGATAGAAAAACGACTGGATAGTACCTCTCCAGGACCAGAGCTGGAGACCCTAGATTTAAATAATGAGAACTTAAACTACCTGTTAACAGATCATTAATATCTCATTGTTTTACTTCAGACTTCCTGATGGGACATGCATTCTTGGTTCAGATATGCATATAAAAGGCTGATGGGTTGTAGTATCCCATAATCAGAGGTGGATAGTTCAGGTTCAGAAAGTAAAAATCAGGCCAAGTTGAGCACTCTGTGACTGACTCTTTAAACTTAACTGGTTGGTTGAAACAGAATATTGGTCTGGATTTTTCCTTTCTGGACCTGAACTATCTGCCTCTGCCCGTAATGACCAGAATCATAATCACCATTATTCCAGATTTTGACTTTGACGTATTTTCGTTTAGTGACCGGGTTCCGTTCCAGCAACCAGGTCGTTTAGCGAAATAGTCATTAAGTGAAGTGACTGCAGAGATTGCTGGTTACTGCTGTCTTTTGCCGATGAAATTCTCGTAAAGTTACACCAGCGTTACTCTTACTCTGTTATACGTTGTTGTCAGGTGTACAAAAGAATTCTCACATTGGCTAAAATAATTGTTTTTAATTACCGTTGCATTTGCGAATGGTTGCTAACGGAGGCAGTTGCTAGACAAGGAGAGGGTGTAATAATACCGGGAAAAACGCAGACGAAGATCGGTGTTGCCTAAGGACGGGTGTACTGCCGCCTTACAGGCCCCAGTACGCTGAAGGACGTCATGGAGGAGGTCCTACACCCCTGCAACCCAAACCCCTGCCCCCTCAACCAGCTGTGCGAGGTCAACAGGAAGGGCTGCCATCCAGGCCTGGAGTGCTTGCCTTACCTCTGCGTGCCAGGTGCCTCTCCCATGCCGGTCCAGATTTCATCCCAGGGAGGAAGAGCATGGTCCTCAAGGAAATACGAGTCAGATGTTCAATTAGTGCATGAATTTCGTAAAGAACATCTGAGATTTAATATTCACATTCAACAAGAAATAAATATGTTAGTTGTATTGGGATGTTTATTTTCATAATTTTTTTGCTCATTGTTGTCCTCAGTAATTTTGAATGTAATACGCTTCTTGCAAACGTCAGACCCATCCTGCACTCTTGCATATGAATATACTGTAAAATTCATCTGTTTTTCATGCTTTTAATATATTTTGAACCATCTATACTTGTGCCGTGTATCTCGTTAAGTGCTGAAGGTCAGTATAACTGCGCTGGAAAGGTCAGGATAATCTTGCATGCCACCTGTGTATGACCCCTGTGCTGCTGTGACCTACACGCCACCCCTGTGTTTCGGTGTCCCATCTCTGACTCCCTAAGCGTCTGCGTGGTCTCTGTCTCCACAGGCTGCAAGCTGTGTGAGGGCTCAGAGTTCCTGGTGCATATGGAGACTCTGATCCAGGTGCCCTCACTCAACGGCCAAGCCGGCTGCTACGAGCTCTGTGTCTGTGGGCAGAACGGCCGGCTGGAGAGCTGTATGGAGATGCCCTGCGTGGATACCTCCAAGACCTGCACCGTGGGAGGCCAGAGAAAAAGTGGGCCCCCCACTCGCCGGCACCCCCCCACGCCGCACCACAGCGATTCGTCTCAAACCTGAGTACCACAAATCCCCTGTATTCAGTTGCAGTTGCTCCCAAAAGTGTGTTTATCAGTGTTTATCTACAGTAAGTCTTTTGGGGTTACTGTCTGAAAACCTGAAGCTCATTAAGCGCATTTAACAGATGCTTGCTGGATCATTTGGCAAAATTATGGACTCTCTTTGGTCTGGTGAGCTAACACTAAGACCAATCAGCTAACGCAAATAGTAGCCAATGGTGGAGCAGTTAGCAGTAATCGCGTGTAGCGCTAATAGCAGCTAGCGCTAATCGTAATTATGAGAAGTGTACCTAAAAGTCGCTCCACAAGAACAGTGCTGCAGTGGGCCTATCTAGCCAAACCACTCCAGCTGGGGCTATATTTGGTGTTTGGGACTTCAGTGAGGAGTGTTTTGTAGCAGGCACATGGCACATGGACCAAAAACCCCCCCCCCCCCCCCGCACACACCATCATTTACACCAATTTTGCACACAAGCACTAAATTTAAAACGGAAAAAGAAGCAACCGCACTTTGGCATTTCCTTCCTGCGGTGATTTTATGGTGCACCCACAACAGCCGTCACCGGGGGCAGCCCTTTGCTGCTTGTTTAGCGCTGGTGTGCATGTGTGTGCGTGTGCTGCCAGGCAGGAGGAATCCAGCTGGAGGGAACATTGGCCTTCTGTGAAGCTGCGCCACCTAGTGGCCAATCTCAATAACTTTTTTGAAAAAACCTATTCAGTCAACAAAAATGTTTTTTTTTTTTTTGGGGGGAAATGCACAGGTTTAAAAGGGGGTGTCTTAATGCACAGGATTACCTGGGTTGAGGAATCTTGTTCAATAAAATTTGGAGTTGCCTGCTGTCCTGTATTCTATGGGGTCGTCCCGTATTGAAAAATAAAATACGATTAGTCTCACATTTTTGCTTCCAGACCGACCCCCCCTACAAACCCCCCCCCCCCCCCCGAGTCAACGACAACACTATAGTAGAAATGTTAGATAGCCTCTGACCATGTAAATGCACCTCTGGATGTAAAGCTGTATTTTTAATGTCTAACAGACACCCGTCCTGTCTTTTCCGACAGATCACGGGACGTCCTTCATGGTGGACTGTCAGCCGTGTTCCTGCTATGCTGGGGAGGTCATCTGCTCCAGGCGGCAGTGCCTCGGGGCGGACAGCTCTGAGGACGAGCGGCGTCGCTTCACAGGTGGGGGCACGATCTGCCTGTACATATGTAATTCAACGTAAGGAAAAATATATGTGCATAAGTTACTGTTTCAATGTGTTTGAATGCCTGCTCTGTGTGGATTGGCATCCCATCCAGGGTGTCCCCTGCCTACTGCCTTCTGCTGTCTGGGATGGGCTCCAGCTTCCCATATTGGATAAACGGCTGCAAAAGCATATAATTATAATATTTATTGCTATATAATTACATGTACTTCAGTGGAGTATGTCAATATACCACTGCTAATGAAAACCTTTTGGGGCTGAGAATCTGAGACTTTACATCCAATAATGCACTTCACGCTTCACAAATCTGCAAACTTCTTGACCCTTTCATGTCCCTTACTGTCAGAGGTGTGTCTTCTGTGTGTTTTGGTCCTCCGAACACAAGGGGGCACCATTAACTGCACTAACTGCGGCCCCAACCCCCCACAGGCCTCCCGTGCCACTGTCCCGACCAGTTTGTGCCGGTGTGTGCTTGGAACGGCCGCACGTACCCCAGCGCCTGCGTGGCACGGTGCATGGGCCTTCAGGACAGTCAGTTCCAGTTCGGCTCCTGCTGGGACCACTGGCCCTGTTCCCCGAACCCCTGTCCAAAGAACCAGAGGTGAGGGGCTTCCCAAATCATAACGTGAGGCAGACCAGAAGGGTCGCCTGACCGATAAGGTAGTATGCCGTCTGCTTGGATCCCAGGGGCAGGCTGTTACAACCTTTGAACAAGGTACTCAACCTGAGCTATGTTTAAAAATATCCAGCTGTATAAATGGGTAGAAAATCGTTAGCACAGAAAAAAAAGTGTCCGTCAGAGAGGTAAAGGTGATGAAAGTCTGTGTGTGACAGAGCTGCCAGGGAGGGGGAACCACAGCGGGCTTGTTATCCTACTGTGTCACCTGCACAGGGCCTTTGCCTTATGTGTGTTTAAGGACCCCCCCCCCCTCCCCTGGCTCTGCTGATGAGGTGATCCTGTTATGGCTAATTTGTCTCAGCAGTGTATGAGGTTGTTTGTTCACATCAAATCCTGGGGAGTTTTGCTCGGTGTGCTGGTCATCATTAAATACTCCCCCACCTTTCGGGATCTGTCCCTCAATGCCGCGAGCTCTCAAGGATTAATTTCCCGCCTTTTTTCGTTTAGGTTTTTAACTGGCCTGAAGCAGAAAGCCCCGCCACCGACTTCCTTTTGAACTGGGGATGTCTAGGGGCTATAGCCTAGGGCCCCAGCAAATATCAGGGGCCCTGCCTGGCAAAATCAGGGCCCCCACCTTGGGAAAGAAGGAACGGATACTTAAATGAGCAAAACCTGAGTGTCCATGCTGATGTGAGCCTAGGGCCCCCAGATGAAAGTGAATGTGCCCCTAGGGACAGGGGTAAAAAACCGTGTCACCCCTCAACGTGTGTTCTTTTACACGGATGCACTCGTGAACAGGTCTAACCCAGTGTGAGGCAGGGGTCTGCACAGAGAATCCCCCTATGTGTCCAAACACAAGGCCTTTTTGGGGATGATTCGGTACCAGAACAGGCGAAATGAACGTTCCTCATCTCTCGCAAAAGACGCCATTACTTGGGACGCTGTGTTGTTGCCGTTGGGTATAATGTCTCTGCTTTACAACAATGGAAACGTGCTTTATGTTTACTGTGGCTAAATTTCCAAAGGGAGGGCTTTTTGGGTCATGGCCAACATTTGTTGTTCCATAAACAAGCCTGTTAAAAGTGAGATCTTTTAATAAGGGCCCTGGATATATGTGTGTGTGTGTGTATACACACGCACACTATGGTTTACAGCTGTTGTCTTTGATCTTAATTTACAATAATGAATACAATTAGGTAACTATTTCGTTATGTTGCAAGCTTGCTTTTAGTGTGCCGTCTTGAGTAGCAGAGAGGTGATTTCTGGTTCATGTTCACAGAATTAATTAGCATGTTATTATATAGGATGTGAGGCAGGGAGTGACCTTGAATCTGTCCTTTAGGTTGTTAATCTTTCTTCCAGTGAAATAAGTATTTACACTTCTTCTCTAAGAGACATACAGGTCTGGAGGTTAACGCAGTTCTTCAGAAAAAGCCAAGATATATATATTTTGCAGCAAATGACTCAAATTAAAAACTCTGTAATGAGGCTGTCCTTTAAATCCCGGGTACTTTGCCTTGTTTCCTGCCTGCTTTTAAATCCTGTCATTATGCTGCGTTAGGTAAAAGCAGCTCTCCCAGACAGCACAGTAATCTGCGTTTTTTTTTCCCTCTTTATTGGTTGTTCCCTGGTGTACGGAAATCAAGGCTGAGTGCAAATTTCCTGACAGCGTGTCGCTGGCTTTCTCGCCTCAGATGTATCCCGAAACGGAGGGTGTGCCTCTCCAACACCACCGAGTACCCCTGCAGGCAGTACGAGTGTGTCAGCAGCTCGCTCAGCTGCGATAAGACCGAGCTGGACCCCGCGTGCGATGCCGCCAATGTGGAGCACTCTAACCTCTGCCTTCTCTACCAAAGAGGGAAGACCCCAGCCTACATGGGCCACTGCCAGGTACGCCCACAACCAATGGTGACTCTACATGTCAGGTGACCAGCTAGAAGTTTCAGTGCCTGCTGTCGTGGGTGGGATACCCTCATGGCAGGAGTGTGTCTTCTGTGGCTTAAGTGATAGCTGGCCAGTTTGGGACCAGTCTTGGACCTTCAGTGTTCAGTGTGATGTTTAGTGAATCCGGGGACCACTGCTCCTCATGGGCTTCAAGCTTCATTGACCACTGTTCCTCATGGGCTTTAATGACTGCTGTTTCTCATGGGCTTCAAGCTTCAATGACCACTGTTCCTCATGGGCTTCAAGTTTCAATGACCACTGTTTCTCATGAGCTTCAATGATCGCTTTTCCTCATGAGCTTCAAGCTTCAAGGATCGCTGTTCCTCGTGGGCTTCAGTGACAACTGTTCCTCATGAACTTCACTGACTGCTGTTTCTCATGAGCTTCAAAGACCACTGTTCCTAATGGGCTTCGCTGACCGCTATTCTTCATGAGTTGCAAGCTTCAATGATCATTGTTCTTTATGGGCTTCAAGACTTGGTGACTGCTGTTTCTCACGAACTTCACTGATTGCTGTTCCTCATGAGCTTCACTGACTGCTGTTCCTCATGTGCTTCAATGGCTGCTCTTCCTCGTGTGCTTTACTATCTGCTGTTCTTTTTGCTTCACAGACTGCTGTTCCCTCTGGGCTTCAGTGACAGCTAGCCTACTTTAGACAAAGCTGAAGTTACATCTTCAAGTTTCATGCTCCATTGACTTTTTTCTTTCATATCCACATTTCAGAAGCCACTCTGATTCCTGATATGTTTGTTGTGAGGTGCAGAAATCGATTAGGCTGCTTTTGCATGCAGTGGCATGAGCTCTGTGGAATGCCTTCGGCACAGGTGCGTTACTTTCACTGTTTAGCTTGTAGCTTTGATTAAAAAAAAAAATAACAACCTCCTGGATTTACGTGATCTCACCGGTGAAAGGAGAATACTAGACTTTCTTGTGGGTAATGAGTGACAAGAGAGGTAAGAGCCATGAGAAGTGAGGAGAGACAAATGGTATCCTCCATGGAGGAATCAGCAAAAGCACCACGTCCTGACTTAGGTTTAGTCTCCCTTAGACAGACCAGTCAGCCGCACAGGGCTGAACCCCCTTTTCCTAATCAAGGTAACAAGACTTTGAGGTAACATCAGCACAAAACACCTGCTCCCTCCAGTTTCAAGTCTGTGTGTGTATAATCGCATCTCAGCCACGCTTTTTAAAATGAACATAAGCATCCGTCATTCCCTGCAAGGCCACTTGCTCGCCTTTGGGGTTAAACAGACGCATGCCTCTGTGACGCTGCTGGTCGAGTTACAGTGTCTGATTGAAACACAAGATGAAATGCCTGACCTCCACATTCTCCTCCTTTGCTAGATGTTATGTCTTATTTAATGACAGCGGCTAATATGCTGATCCGTTAGGTGCATCTTCACCCTGCTACCTGCTTGCTCTTTTTTTATCATCCTCTCCTGTCTGTCTTCTTGGCTAAGTGACTCCAGGATCACCAGATTTGTTATCATTTGGGGTAGCTGTTGTTTGGGGTAGATGTCATTTGGAATAGCTATTGTTTGGAGTAGTTATTGTTTAGCATAGCTTTCAATTGGAGTTGCTGTCATTTGGGGTACCTATTGTTTGAGGTAGCTGTCATTTGGGTTAGCTATTGTTTGGAGTACCTATCATTTGGAATGGCTTTTATTTTGGGTGGCCATCATTTGGGATACCCTTCATTTAACATAGGTATCTTTTGGGGCATCGTTTAGAGGAGCTGTTGTTTTTGCTAGCTATTCTTTGAAGTACCGATTGTTTGGAATACCTATCAGTAGGGGTATCTTTCATTTGGAATAGCTATTGTTTGGAGTAGTTATTGTTTAGGGTAGCTTTCAATTGGAGTTGCTATTGTTTGAGGTAACTATTGTTTGAGGTAGCTGTCATTTGGGATAGATGTTGTTTGGAATAGCTCTCATTCTGGGTGGCCATCATTTTGGATACCCTTCATTTTTAGGTAGGTATCATTTGGAGTAGCTGTTGTTTTAAGTAGCTGTTGTTTGGGGTGGCTATTGTTTGGAGTCGTTATCATTTAGAGAAGCTATAGTTTGGGGTAGATAAAGTTTCATTCCACTTAGCTGTTGTTGCTACGCTCTGCTTGTTCTGAGAAACACTTAAATTGGAAATGTCTGATTTCAGAACACCTCTGAAGGCAGACCACTCATTAAACACTGTTTTTGCTTTCATGTTACCGAATGAGCAGGAATTCTGCGGAGATGTTTGTGCCAAATTAGAGCCAAATTAGGAAGAGGAAGCTGACTCTGCTCCCTTTTCAAAATGGTCCTCAGAAAGCCCCCCCCCCCTTGAAAAAGGGCCGCAGGAGGAGCAGGGAGGATGTAGAGGGGTGTGGCTAACCGCAGGGTGGCACCTGTGTGCCCCACAGGATGCCTGCAGGCTCTCGCACCCCGTTTGCGGGCACAACGGCGAAACCTACACCACGGTGTGCGAGGCCTACTCGGACCGCGTCGCTGTTGACTACCATGGGCGCTGCCATGCCGTGGGCACGGTATCTGAGTTCTCCTCCGACACTGTCTGCGGCGCCGTGCGCTGTCCCCCCCTCTCCACCATGGACTGCAATCCTGTCACTCCCCCCGGTAAGTATACCCCATCTCCCTTGTGTCATTAAGAATGCAGAGATGGTCACCTACAAATCATTTAACACATACCAATAGAACTTTATTAATAAAAACCTGAATTATATCCATGTTTCTTAAAACAAAATGGTATACCAGTACCACAAACAGACTAGTGGACATGACTATACACCCTCCCCTTTGTTCTGATGATTCTGTGGTCCATGCCCCGCCCCCTTCACCAGCCACTCACATTCTCTCTGTCCACCCGTGAACAAATAATAATTTATTTTCAAAATGTCAGAGGCCCATATTAAACAAAAGGCCAGTATTTGCACATTAAATGCTGGTTTAATTGATCTGGAACCAACTGGGGGTCATTTCCAAAGGCCTTGTGTTTGGGTAAATTTTACATAACATACTAGGGTTTTGTGGGATTACTTTACACTTAATCATAAGGGCAGATAAATCCAAAAGATTAGTCCCTTGGTTGTTAAATGACCGGCGTGTTTCAGTGATTTTCTGCTTTTATGGTGAGAGTTGTTCCTTGCAGTTTCCCCATCACAAGTCCTCTTAACGTTATGAAGATGTCCTCTAGAGGTGTTTCGGTTCCAGTCTGGTTCCTGAGTTCTCATGGGTGGGGAAGGAATAGCTAGCAAGCTCAGAAGGCATGATAAGCGGGCGTGATGCTCGGGAGAATGTGCCGCATTCGGATCCCTGACCTGGTGGGCTGGGACCTTCAGGTCCGGCTGAGGATTCTTGGTCTCTGTTCTGGGAGGCAACGGGCATAATGCCTTGTTTTCACAGGGGCCTGCTGCCCACTTTGTGCCGGAATGCTGCGGATCGTGGTCAACGCCGGCCAGATGGACGTCTTCGCGAAGGTGAGGGAACCTGCTACGCTGGATTCTCAATGCCGGGGCTTCATAGAATTACCTGAACACGCCGTAATTGTTTAAATGACGTGCAAACAGTGCGCACATGACTGGGCAGGAGTATGGGATGTTAGATAACGTTATAACCATGGATGCCCCCCCCCGTAGAGAAAATTCTTTGGAAACATACCACGCGCCCCCAAACCATCTGCCTTAATTGTTCTGTTTAATTCCAAATACAGAAAGGCAAGTCTGCCTGCTATATCGGGCTGATTCTGATCCTAAACACAATGTATTCTGCGTAATGTGATCATAAAAAAAAAGATTTGACCCCCCTCCTCCGCTCTACTCAGGTACTGGTAACAAATTAAGAAAATCCATTAATGCATATCCCGGAGTATTAAAGAAGAAGCCTGGGGTTTTTGGTTCTCCTACACGTGATAATGTTCCGCTACTGTCTTTGGGTGAATCTCAATTTGTGTACTTGACCGTACTTGTGTTCTTCTGTACGTCATCTTCCATTGCCGAAGACCAGTTCCAATACTCAAGAACAGTACTACAGAGGACAATGAAAATACCCGGCCCAAATATCAAGGATACGTCAGTTCCATCGTCCCTAAAACAAAAACTATCCCTTGATTTAGTGCAGCCCGAGCTTGTTCTTGGAAAGCAAGGTGGCAAGACCGGTCTTACCAAGACCACAAGTATGATCTTTGTGTTCTCGGTATTGAGATTCACCCGTTTAATTCTGTGACGCATAGCAGCGTTTACTGCTACAGTTTGTACTGTCAGTCAGATTCAAATCTGTTGGTAAAAAAGTGCCCACAAGAGGGCAGTGTGGTGCTTCCACTCTTGACACAATACAGCCCCGGGGGACGCACAGGTGCACAAGATTGATTATCCACTTGAAGAGTATTTGAGCAAAACTTAATCGTATTTGCCTGTTTTTGTGGTGGGATGAGTGCCTGATTGATTCACCCACCCACGGTACAGTAAAATAAGTAAATGAGAGGATTCCGAGGACGTTTTCAACCTGAGGTAATCCTTCGTGAAACACACCCTCAGCTATCCCTGAAGTTTGTATAAACCAGGGGTGGCCAATCTTATCCGCAAAGGGCCAGTGTGTGTGTGCAGGTTTTTGGGATAACCTGTAGGTCAGCTGTTCAAACCCAGGTGTGAGGACTCTTCAGCCAATCAGTCCTCTAATTAGTAATCCAATTAGGGAGTTGCAGCGAAAACCCGCATACAGACTGGCCCTCTGCGGATAAGATTGGCCACCCATGTTATAAACAGTCAACAAATATTTCTGCTAAATTATTGCAACCTTCCAGAATGTTCCCTGTTTAAATAACCATGCCACGGCGCAGTTGTTGACGTGACTGCGGCCTCCTGCGTTGCAGCTGAACGACAACCAGCCGGTCACCGTCCACGACATCCTGCGTATCCTGAGGCTTCACGTCTCGGTCCCGCAGTGCGACGTCTTTGGCTACCTGAGCATCGACTCAGAGATCGTGATCCTCATAGTGCCCGTGGACCAGCAGCCTACTGCCCTGCAGGTAGGGGGCGCCGTTTGCTGTGCTGTCTGTATGATGCCATTACCATACACTGGTGTGCGGGTTGTACCTTTCTTATAAGCCCAGGGGGGGTTGGGCAGCCAGTTTTTATAATTACATTTAATTATTTAGCAGATACTTTTATCCAAAGCTAAGTATAATTCAGAAAGCAGGGTCAGACAGTCCCTGGAGCAGCCATGGGACTCAAACCACCAACCTTCTGATCACATATACAGCATCCTAACCCGCTGAACCCCTCACCACCTTCCTTGCTAGTTTTTGGTTCCTCTCCTCTATTGCCTTCTGACTTTTTCTTTCCATCTTCCCTTTTTTCCTGTTCCATGTACCTTTCTGTACAGATAATGTTATAATGGATTTCCACACTTGGGTCTAAACCCAAAACCCAGCCACTTAATCCAGCCCTTACAGCACCGGCCCCCCTCAGCTACTTTATTGAGTGCAAACATCGTCCTGATGGATAACTGACAATTCTTTACTACTGCTTACGTTACATTATGTAACCATCACATTACTGCACCACCCATAGTAGTGCTGGTGCATCATGGGAATGTCACTCCTGTATCTGACCTTAGGATATACCTTTCTGTCTGAGAGGTCATTCTAC